CATGAGCTAATTCCTTTTTTTTTTTCCAGGTATAATATCCTCAATTGCTTTTTGTTCAAGTAATTCAGGAATGCTAGCTACAGGGTCATATGATCAAACTACTGCAATATATAGAGAAGATAATATGGAGTTGCTATATGTCCTGCATGGCCAAGAAGGTGGCGTCACACATGTAAGTTGGAATATCTAGTTATTCTCTGTTGAACTTTCTGCAGTGTTTGCTGTATGACTCTTCATTTTTTTTTTTAACCTTGTCAGGTGCAGTTTTCAAAAGATGGAAACTACTTGTATACCGGAGGGCGAAGGGTATGTTTCTACATTTGTTGTTTTTTCTTTTAGTATATACTTGGATTGTGTACAGTTTGATTAAGAGAATTAATGCATATTCATGTTTTAGCTTCTTTTTCAGGAGAAATAATTGGTGTTACTCTTTTACTAGTGGAGTAATGTGGATGAGCGAGTTTTGCAATTGATTATGAGAAATCTCTAACATTGTAAAATTGATTATGAGAAATCTCTAACATTGCAAGAAGAAATGAGCAAAAAAAGACTAAAGAAAAACGATAAAGTAGAGAAGTAGTGAAATAAAAGGAATTTGTCTATCAGAGTAGTGTGCATACTGTTGTGATTTAGGCTGACTTGATTGAGTGAAAAGTAAAAGAGCTTTTTCTTTGAACAATAATTTCCTGTCTTGATGTCCAATGCTACAGGCATCAGCGCTGTCATTAATGTCAAATAAAGGAATCTTGTCTATATCAGGGTGGTGTGCATACTTTGTTGACATTCAACGCTAACTTTATTGTATTCACAAGAAAAGGGAAACGAGCCTTATCTCTGAAGAACTATTTCTTTCCTCGATATTCCCATGATACAGGTTGTAGCACTTTCATTAATACAACTACATTTGCAAAAGCAACTGTCTTCGACATATTTTGATGCATGATGATTAAGGACATCTCATGCTCTTATACTAAACATCCTTTCACGAAGAATAGGAGAGGATAACTTATTTTTCTCCATGAGAAAAGAGTAAGCTACAGCTTAAGATAGGAGGAAAATGCCTTTTCTTGTGTAAAAGACATATTCTTGAGTTTCCAATGTGATTATGGACCTTTTAAAATCTTGGTTGGAGGATGATGATCTTTATGGGAAACACCAGTCATAAAATTAGTACAAGTGCGGTCCCCTGCAAACTCGAAATTTTCTTTTGTTGCAATAAAGACATAACTTTGAAAGTATCTGCTTAAAAATGTATCTCCACTGCATCATGTTCAGTTGTGAACTTTGAGTAAGCCCTTCGGTGAAAATTATGTTGTGGAATCGTTAGGTTTGTTTTGGGTAAAAATACTCGTTTTCTGCTATTATATAGAGGTTTCTTACAGTTTAATTCCACTGCTTTATGTGGTAATTTCTGTGGTCTCTTGTACCTGTTGTGTTTCTCTATATATAAGAGTTTAAGGATGCATTATAATGGTAAGTTAAAAAGTATCTGCTAAAAAGTTCTTACATGTATTGTAGGATCCTTATGTACTGTGCTGGGATATCCGCAAGGCTGTTGAAATTGTTTACAAGTAAGTGATATGTTCTTAGTGATAAACAAGCCTAAGAGTTCCTATTATGATATTGGTGGGATTCATTACCTATGTCATGCTGAAAAGTGGTGCTAAGAGAAAAGAACGAGTTTCTATTTAGTAATCAGTACTTCTTAAGATACTAGCTGGTTTATATTGGCTCATCTTTCCATCCATGAAATTTCAAATTCAAAAACTATAAAATGCTGGCATGTCTTGCAATTCTATCAGTGAAGGAAGGAAGTTTCTGCTCTTTACTGGAGGTATTAACTGAGGTGTGTATGCTTATGTTGTACATTCCACAGATGATACTGGCTGTTCTATTGATTGAAAGTTTTTTTTTTTTCCTGCTTATCTCTTCTTATTATTAGTGTATCTTAACTATAATGCAATTTTTGGATTTACCACTGCCTTAACTGTCATATTATAAATTTTTATCTTGATATGGGATTTGAGTCCTTATGTCTGATTTGCTCCTCTTTTCTTTTTCGTTATTAGTGGCACATGAGATTGCCAAATGGCTTTTTATACAACCTCTAACTTCTTGTAAGAAAATTACATGAGATCCATATCCCTGTAATATGCTTTTTTGTTCTCTTTTTGTTGAGACAATTTTAGATACCTGGTGTTTAGTTTCATCACATCATCTGTCGATATTGAACCTTATGAGTCTAGTACTCTGATTTGCTATGCCTTTTCTGTTTTCTTCAGGGGTGGTTTTGGAATTGATTTGTTTGCATGAGTTTTAATGATCATATCCTTCTCACCTTCTTATTGGTTGCATTTATTTCTGACCATGATAGTTTACATGATTCCTTTCTTTCCCACCTTCTGAACCAGTAGAATGCTGTATGGTAAACTTCGTGGATCATACTAGTATTGTCCACAAATTAACACAACCAGTTGAGGTTTTCTGCTAATATTTGATGTTTAGCTGTTAGGTGTCAGATGAGGCATTCATGAGACAATCCAAGTGCATATGCATGCAAATCAAAATTTGCATGCCCTGATTTGCATGCCCAACATTGACAGTCAATTTTCATGCTTTCATTACACAAGTTCTAGAATATTCGGTAGTGAATCCTTCAGAAATTAATTCCTTTTCTTTATGAATCATTATTGATCAAAATTATATGGTCATTCTCACTGATAAAACCATTCTGGTAGCAGATTATGGAATTTACTTATAAGGAAATATATTCACATTGAAGTTCCATCTGGTTTTTGCATTCATGCCTCATTTCCACGTGCTGCTTTACCATTTTATTGCTTTGGAACGTTGTGCATGTGTTTCTTCCTGCACATGACTGTTTAGCACTTTGGCAGTAAATTTCTAGGAATTTTGTTAAATTTGAAGGAGATTAAGGTGTTAAACTTTATCCTCTTTGTCTCTGTGAGCAGGCTGTATAGATCAACTGAAACTACCAATCAGCGGATACATTTTGATATTGAGCCTATGGGCCAACATCTTGCAACTGGTGGTCAGGTATCATTCTAGCTTAATTCTACATATCTACAGCAAGTGACCATGCAGTACAATGCGGAATAATTTAATATTCTGATCACTATCCTAGGATGGCTTGGTTCATGTGTATAATCTACAAAATGGCCAGTGGGTATCAAGTTTTCAAGCAGCATTAGGTATTAAAATTTCTTGATTTTTCATTAGCAGCTTAACTTTGATATGTAGTTCCTTTATTCTTTCACTGTCATCAATATTATTGGTCTTATTATTTTTATTTCTACTATAACTGTTACTAATATTGTTATTTGGTGTTGCAGATACTGTGAATGGTTTCGCTTTCCATCCATTTTTGCCAATGGCTGCTTCATCTTCCGGGCACCGGAGATACGGATGTTTTGATGATTCTTCCGAGGATGTGATCCTTGGTAGTAAGTTTTCTGACTCTGACATAGTTCATTTTACTGTTGGCAATATTTTCTTTGGTTTGATCCTTGGATAATTTTTTGACTCTAAAATTCCTGTATTATGTTGTAGTACATCAGTTTTGAAGTTTACAATTTGTTATAATCACACAATTTCTTACAAATAAATAAATAAAAGGATGTTTGGTAATATAGTGGAGGGAATGGCATTCTGGTTTTAACATTCTACCTACCTGCCTGATTTGTATTTCGACCCCAGTTTGTTGGTACTAAAGCCTAAAGGTTGCACGCACGGTTGGTGTTATGCGCTGATCCTACTAATGTAGTTGCTAATTTTTCCCTGTTTAGGTGATGAAAATTGTGTCTCCATATGGAGCTTTTCTTTCACAAACAGTGATGATGTTTCAGCAGCAAGTTTTGGGGAGCTGAATGACGAAATTGACAATAACAACCTCAACGACTCTTGATTGTATGCAGTGTCTTTTACGTAGCAACGGCAACCGCAAATTTTAGCCGTCAGATACCTCAGACGCCTCTCTCGAAATGACAATGTACAGCAGTATAGTATTAGGAGGTCACTTTAGTACCGACACAACTGATCATAGCTCTAGTTTTTTGATTTGGGGATACTGTCAATGGTTGACATGACTGCAACGGGTACTAGTGAGAAGCAGATTTTTCCCTCACAGTTCAATTTTCGTGAAAACTAATAATCTGCATAGTATCTGGTGGGCTGTTTTTTCCCCTTTAATAATTATTTTTTGTTTCTGCTGTTGCATTGCAAAAAATATTTCGGCCACTGTGGGACATTGTGTACTATTTTATTTTATTTTTGGACTGAATTTGATATTGGAACCTCGTATCATATGTTTCCCTTCTTTCTGTTTTTTTCTTTTTCCCCGGATGAGTGTTAGGAATTTAAGGAGTTACTAATTCTTTCAACTTTAAAAATATGGTAAACTGATAAAAAGGGTTTTAACAAAACAAACATGAACTTCTAATGTGAACAACCATAGATTATTCCCAACAGGGACGATATCCAAATATCCAAGTTGATCCTTTCAAAGGCCACGTTAAAACAGAATCATTTGTGCATGCTGAGTGCAACAACACAAATCTCTAGTCAGGTGCCGTTTTTCATTACCTTTTCTGCCGCTAATGATTTGCATCTTATCCTCTACATTCAAAACCCCAAGCCGAGAATGGTGAGTGACAAAAACCTATCAAACAAGTAATAGACATTAGGAGCCATTTGCACCTTGAACAATCAATTGACCCTGCACCCTGTCTATAACATTGATTTGCAGAGTTTGGAACAGTGCAACGGTTACATGCATTGTTGCATATTCATGCAATGATTGTTATTATGAATTAAATCTTACAAGATGGGTAAGTAATTACTCTTAAAATGCCCTAAATCATACAGATTCTTCACCAACCACCCTTGGAGTCTGTATAAAAGTGTGCCATCTACTTGGTATTTCTTCACCCATCCTTTAGCCCACCAAAGAGAGAGTGAGTTAACTGATTTCATCCCTTCTCATGGCTTCTCCCAGGGAGAGCAAGAAAGCCATGATTACAAGAGATGGAAAAACTTATCCCTCAACTCTTAAAAACTTCCCTGATGAACTGATCGAAAAGATCATATCGCACTTCCCTCTCAAAGAATGCACAAGGGCTGCACTTCTTTCGAAGAGGTTTATCAACTCCTGGAAGCTTAATCGTAACCTGTGTTTCGTGGTAAACAAACAGAGATTTCCTAGAGATGCATATGCTAGTCTCGTCGACCGTGTTTTGGACCAACATTGGGGGCCAAAAGTAGAGAGATTGGTCCTGACTTTTGATCCAACCGGTCAGGAGAATCGAGTGAACGGTTGGATTCAGACAGCGGTCGCGAAGGGGGTTGAAGAGCTCCGTTTGGACTTCAGAGGTGCGCATCAACCTTATCCCTTTAGCTCTGACCTTATAGATGCTACACCTATAAGAGCATTGGAGCTGAATAACTGTCTTGTTGGGTTTGCCACGGAGCTCAATGGCTTGCGATTTCTGAAAACTCTTGTTCTTAAAAATGTTCGTCTCGGGAACAAGTTCACGGAGACAATTTTCAACGGCTGTTTGCTACTTGAGAATCTGGAGTTTGTGAACTGCAACAATGATCCTCGACTCAGAATTTCCGCTGGATATTTGAAGCATTTTAAATCACTGAAAGTGGAAGGGTTTAGGAATATTCTCTCCATTTTTATCAATGCTCCAACTCTGAAGTCATTGCATTACAATGGAGACATTTGCAAGTTCACTTTCAGCTGCTCTTTCCCTTCGCTGGATGTGGCTGCTTTCGACTTCAGACCAAATAGGATGCGTCAACTTGATGAAGTTGAGCAAATCATCATGTCTGTCAGCTTTTGCACTGACCTCACCATTTGCAGTTCCATCCTTGAGGTAATAATCGTCCAGTTCTATTCTTACTATCATATGTCTATTTTGAGGTATTGCAACAAATTAAAATGCTAAAGTTATTGTGATTTTTATCTCATTCAGGGGCTATCTCCCAGGTTGAAAGATTTTAAGTACAAAGAATTCCAGTTCTGCCTTATGAGGCTGAGGAAACTTACCTTGTTCCTTGGAGGATCGAGCTATCGTGGGCGGACAACTTTTGTTAACCCTTGCGACATCGTTGTTTTCCTCATGAAATGTCCACTGATCGAGAAGATACACATTGATGTAAGACTATTCAACATTATTCTGCTAATCTTGTTGGATTTGAAACCGTGCCAATTACGTGTGGTCATATGGATTATTAAATATTAACAATGATACACAACAGATTAAAACTGTGGCACATATTTTCTGTACAGAATCATACATAATATTTTATTGCACCCGTAAATTGCATAGTTGAAAGTACAAAAAATCACCTAAGCCGAACCGAGTTAGGATGCCATGAGTACTGCTGTATCGGAATAACCTACACAAAGATAAATACGGGACTAACTCCGACGCTCACAAGTCAATGAGGAGTTTTCTGAGAATAATGTAGGAAAATTGATATAATATATAATTGTCGTACCTTTTGTATGAACAAACCTGTTATATTTAGAAGTGTTATAAGATAAGCTGAAGAGGTAGGAATTATCTTTCTGTTAATGATAATATTCTACCAGATAATTACAAGGTTTATATGGCAGTTACGGATTATATGCAGAAGGGATTATGTTCATCTCTAAGGTGTATCCCCACAAATTCGAAGTTATCCCTTCTGATCCCAGTGCTTTGTTCAGTATCTTTACCGAACAGGCTTATTCGGCACAACACATGTCGCAGCTAGATTTGCTGCCTCTACAATAGTCACTACTCGAATTCCTACTACATGAATTTTCCTCCATTTGCTTTGATTCTGTGTAATGACTTTTCCCCACCTCCAATGCAGCTGGGTGATTATCCTTTCGAAGAAGGGCTCTTCTGGAAGTTAATTGTAAAGGATAGCTTTGAACATTGCTGCCCATCATTCCAATTCTTGAAGGAACTGAGGATAGGGAACTTCAAATTTCGTGAGTTAGAATTTCGGCTCCTCAAGATTATAGTAGACAATGCACCTTCTCTGGCGGTTGTGATCTTAAACACTTGCGGAAATATAATGCGAACTCCCGAAGAAAAAACACTTTTGGAGTGGATGTCAAAACAAAATTGCCGCTTTGAGGTCTCCGAGAGCAATAATAAGAGACGTTTGGGCACTCGCCCTAGGTATATTTAGACAGAAGAAGGGCAACTAAAGTGCATTAACGGAGAACTATTTGTTATTGAATGAAAATTTTAACAAGTTCATTGTTGTATTATTTGGCGATATTGGAATCTTGCTCAAGGCATTTTAACTCTCTGCAATTTTTTTAACTTTTTGTTTGCTTTATTATCTGTAGGGCTTTGACATTGGGATTCTGTCTTTAGATGACTTGTGATCTATTGTGGGGTTTATTCCCTTAGAATAAATAAAATGTGGGTCTAAATAAGGGTGGGTGTGCCTTAAATTTGATCTCTAAATTTAGAAATTATGTCTTTAAACTCATGCACGTAGATAAAGCTTTTTCTTTTCCATATAGCTAGCAGGGCAAACATGAAAGAAATGAAAGAGAAACATCTCATCGCTCTAATATCAGTATATATCTACTAAATTTTAAATCAAGAAGAATTTACTCATCATGTTTAGTCGTAAAAGGTTGGATGCCAAGAACAAAAGAGAAAGACTGTAAAATAAGTTTGCTGCTAATTTTATTTGTATTAAGATAAGTATATATCAGATTAGTTTCTCTTAAATGATAGGATTCTTTTAATAGTATTAGCGAAAATATTTCGTCGTCTATACTGGGAATCAGATGTCAAACTGATATATAATTGAAAATGATTTCTTTCAACGCACGCTCTAATAGGATTTACTCTATTTAATTAAGTAATGGAGCGATGTACAATTCAAGTTAGATTTTTCCTGTTTGTATACCAAAGCATACAAATCAACACTACTTTGGTGAAGCTTAGAAATTATTAGAACGTGTATGTGATCCATATCAGAAAAAATAAAACACATATTTTTCAAGTAATAAAAATAATATAGGCCAAAATTATTAAAATTATCAATTTGATAACTAGGTGATGATAAATTGGGTGTGGTGATTCTCAATCACGCACAATGCACGAGTAATCATGATCACAAGTAATGCAAATTATAAAGCTGGTAAATTAATTATATAAAACATAATTTCAATTTTCAACTTACACCAAATGGTGATATCCTTTCCTTTCCCTTGCTTTCATTCAATCCAAACGGTGCCTAAAGGTGTTTTGTCCCCTCAATGTCAACGTAGCTTGTTGGTTATCCCTTTGAAGAAGGGCTCTTTCGGAATTTTAATTGCAAAGGATAGTTTCCAACACTGCTGCCCATCACTCCAATTCTTGAAGGATCTAGAGCCAAAAACTTTAAACTCGTTGATTCAGAATTTCACTTCCTGAATATTATAGTGTATTATCTTAACCACAGATAGAATTATAATGCAAATTCCTCGAGGAAAATGATTTTTAGAGTGGATAATGAAACAAAACTGCAGCTTTGGAGCTACGAAAACGAAAAGAAGAGGCACTCAGGCACTGCTCTTCGCATGTTTTTTTTTTTTTTTTTTTTTTGAGATAAGAAGTGGACCTGTCAATTGACTTGGGCTAACCCAAGCTCAACCCGATCAACCTCAAATGTAGTAGGTTGTGCCTTATGCAATGCGGGCTGAGTTGCGTATGGACTAAACTACTTTGCCCGATTTAAATGAGTTTCATTTGTACTGAATTTTTTTTTGAAAAAGGAAAGAGGTTGTATTAATTAGATTGCTGGATATCGTCCAGCACCAATTGTTTGGCAAAAGCCGGGGGGGGAGTTCCAGAGAGATTCAGAGAGGCTAGAAGATCTAGCAAACTGTGCTAAACTATGCGCAACCCTATTTGCTTCCCTAGGAGTCCAGACCACACTCAGAATGGGTAGATTAAGCAAGGAAAGACGGATATCCTCTATAACAGTGCCGAGGTCAGAGAGAATCTCATCGGAGCTACTAATCTGTTTAACCACTGAGGACGCGTCCCCCTCAAGTATGAAGCTTGGAATCATCAAAGTGCTAGCCAGCGATACCGCCTCCCTTGCAGCAAGAGCCTCTGCCAGGTCTGCACTAGTTTGGATTGGGATTCTCCTACATAAGCCGGCAATAAACTGGCCCTCACAGTCACGAATAACCACACCAATCCCAACAACACGGTGAATTGTGGATACAGAGGCATCAAAGTTGACTTTAAAGTGGGGGGCGTGCGGCGGAGTCCAAAGGGAAGAAGGCCGTGGTGACGAGACTGGCGCAGCTTGGAGGTTTGCCTCATGAAAGGCTTGCTGACCATTGAGAGCATAGCTAACCAAAGTTAAGGGGTCCCGAGTCCTACCATTAAAGAGAGCGTCATTTCTGTTGTTCCAGATTTCATAACTGAGAACAGCAAAATCCTCACAGTCTTTAGGTAGCAAGCTCCCAAGAATCTCCCGTACCCAAGCTGCTGCAAAGGGTTGACAATAAGCTTGGATTTTCCTCTCCAGGAAGCTAAGCGCCCAGATTTGAACCGAGACAGGACATTCGAAAAGAAGATGGGTTAAGCCACCTGATGGTTCATTGCACACCGAACATATGTTCTCGACAGGTATCCTTCGTTTTTGGAGATTGTCTGGTGTGGGGAGAGAGTTGTGACAAATACGCCAAAGGAAATGCTTCTTCTTGTTCGGGACATCAAGCGACCAAAGCTTCTTCCAAATTGCATCGATCCCAGCACTAGAGGATGCCTGCGCTGTCTGACCAACATCAAGGATGTCAGAATCCATTATTGCATGATAAGCGCTTCGAACCGAGAACTTGCCATTCTGTGTAAAATGCCAAATCCATCTATCATTCGTCAAGTGTTTGGAAAGAGGCAAGCTCTTAATCAAAGAAGCCTCCTCCTCCCAAAATATTCCATCAATCAAAGCGGTGTTCCAGCTGCGGAGGTCATGATGGATAAGATCCGCAACGCGAGCATGATAACCCAATACCCGGGGAGGAGAGCAGATTCGGAAGGATTTAGGACGGGGTAGCCAACGATCATGCCAGATACGAATAGAGCTCCCAGAGCCTACACGTAATCTGCAACCAAGGTTTAGGGCTTTCCGTCCCTCAAGGATTCCTCGCTACGTGAATGAAGGACGATATCCCAACGTCGCATAGAGAAAGTCCGTCTTAGGAAAATATTTGGCTTTGAGTACACGATGAAGAAGGGATGTTGGTGTAGTAAGAATCCTCCAAACTTGCTTCCCTAGCATAGCATAGTTGAAGGCTTTCATATTCCGAAAGTCTAATCCACCTTGATTCTTGGGCATACATGCCGACCCGCAGTAGGGGCCTCTGGCCCCCAAGGGCACGTGTCGTGGGCTAAGTCCTCGCTGCGGAAGAGCCGCGTTGGCTGCCTTGAAGTACAATTCCCATCGAGCGACGGGTAGAATCCTTTGCAGACGACTTAAATACGCGACGGGGTATTGTAAGGGGCAGAGTGGCCTTGCTGCCACGATCCTCTGAGATTCAGCCCTTTGTCGCTTCGATTCGTCCCTCCCCTTCCCAAACCACAACGCTTTTCCAGCATGGCTGCGGAGGTTTACCCGTGGCCTTGGGCACGAAACCCCACGGCAGTCGTGCGTTTTTCTAGCCGTCGGTGAGGCCGTCGTGCCCATGCCTTAGCCAATGCAAGGCAACGGCCGTCGTGCGGCCTAAGGTCCACCGCCAAGCCACGAGGGGCACCGTCGTGCTTTTTGCTTGCCGTCGGTGTGGCATCGTGCCCATGCCTTAGCCAACACAAGGCAACGGCCGTTGTGCGGGCTAAGGCCCACCGCCTAGCCACGAGGGGCACCGTCGTGCGTTTTTCTTGCCGTCGGTGTGCCATCGTGCCGATGCCTTAACCAACGCAAGCCCACGCCCGTCGTGCAGCCTAAGGCCAACTGCCTAGCCATGAGGGGCACCGTCGTGCATTTTCCATGGATTAGTTGCCTGTTTGGTTTAATTAGATTTTGTGAACATGAAAAGTACATGACATGAGTTTGGACCTATCCGAAATGTGATTTTAGTTGAGTAAAACTTGGACTCAAAAGAATGATACTTTATGTAAACTGAGTTTGAGCATGTTAAAGACCAACTCACATAGTCCAATTGATAGGATAAGATAAGAAGAAGGCAACTAATTGAAATAGATTCAGCCAACGAAGGAATACTTTGTGATTAATCAATGGAAATTGCGTGAAAGTTTGTTGTTGTTTGATTAAGCAACATTGTACATTAAAATATTTAACTTTAAGTTCCGTCATTGTGTCTTTAATGTCATGCATTCTATCAAACTAGTATTTTGACTCGTGCTATGCACGGAATTATATTTCAAATCAAAATAATATTATATATATTTATATATTGTGGTATAGAATAATATATATATATACTAAAAATTTTAAAGAAGTGTATGCTTAATATTTTGAAAAAAAAATTAATCTATAATGATTTACATGATAAAAGAATTGTTAACGCATTTAAGGAGAGGGTTAGGTTGGATGGTAATGTAAGAAGAGTTTTCTAAAAAAAAAGTCAATTTATCAATATCAGACAAAACATATTATGTTATATCCATATATCAAAACTTATAATATAAAAAAATAAATTATAACCAATTTATTTTCTTCCATTTTTAGAAAAAAAAATCTTTCTTCTATCTTGTGCCCCTAAAATTGTTGACTGCATTTAGATTAGCATTTTTCATAAATTTTAACGTATATTTTAAAAAAAATCTCCGTAATATGTGTTTTTAGAGTTCTCAAAATTATTAAAAATCACCATTATTTCTCTCTTCTCTTATCTACCAGCTAGTCATCAGATGTCTCCTACGACTTTCATATCTTCTATCATGGTACCACTCTTTCTATTATTATTATTATTATTATTATTTTGTCATCTCTGTCATATCCCTGCAATCCTCATTTTTCTTCTCTCCTTCTCCATCTATCCTTGTAATCCATATTTCTTCTTCAACCTTTTCTACCACTTTTCAACTCCTCACCATTTTCTTCCCTCCCTCCCCTCCTATACCTAACCTCTAAATTCATATCCCTGCTACCCAATATATTTAATTTTACCTATCATAATGAAAATATAAAATTCAAAATTGATTACAATGGTTGCAATTATTAGTATCTAAAAATGGAAATGAAAAACTGATAATATCTATAATATCCTCAAGTACTACAATCAATATATATATATATATATATATAGCATAACAAATACATATTTACATATGAAGACAGCAATAAGAATACATAAAATAATTAATAATACCAAAAGTTATCCTTAGTGTTTGAGTTTTGTACTCTTATTTAAGT